AAGCTAGGTGCGAGGTTACACAAAAACCGGAAACTAAAATTTCACTAAGGGCTCATTCGATTCGAAGGATTTTCAAAGGATTATTGTACAAATTAAAACTTTAGGGTTCTATCGTCTATGCACCATTCATTTCATAGGAAGATATCATACCAAATTCCTAAGGATTGTGGTTTTACAACCTTATTCCATAAGGCTTGACGTGAGAGCTCTTGGAAAAAAATATATAAGGATTATAGTGCATGCGGCATATTAATTCTTTAGGGCTAATTCTGTTTAAAGGATTTTCATAGGATTATTGTAGGAACTAGCTGGGTGGCCCGCGCAATTGCGCGGCTAGCATCAATACAAAATTATATTCTTTTTTATATATGATTTTACTTAAAATTTATTAAATAGCTATCTAGTTGACTTAGAACTTTGAAAGATTAAACCTTATCATCTCCATGTTTCTAATTTTATAACTTTTGAAAGTCACACTAGTTGCTAACCTCTTACTCCTTTCACCACTTTATTTGCTTACTCGATCTACTATAACTTCTATTTATTCTCATTGGAACTTTTAAATTTGGATCTTAGAGTTCATTGTCTCGTTAGATTTCGTTTTTATTACTTTTAGAAGTTCCGTCAAACACCGTCACTCAACTCCTCTACGGCCGGCCATCCACCGTCGTGGCGTTCATTTTTAACTTTCTAGAAGTCCCGCCAACCCATCAACGGCCATCCACCGTCGTGGCGTTCATTTTTAACTATTAGCAGCGTTCATTTTTTACTTGCTAGAAGTCCCAACAACCCGTCAACAGCTTCACCATTGTACACCTCTATGGCCCGTCCGCTGCTTTCCATCTTAATTATCATAGAGAGATTAAAAATCAAACGTGATTATCATTGTGGTTTATTTTTTACTTTCTGAAATTCCTGCCAACCATCGTAATTGTGATGCTTAACAGCCTGCTTGTCGTCCCTACTCTTAATCGTCATTGGAATTTTATTTTAGGTTTTGTTTACAGTTTTATGCTCGTTGCCTTTCTCTCTTCACTATCTATTTTAATTAATCTCATGTTGTGTTCTAATTGGTCTCTTCTTTCAATCATTTTTATTTTTATTATAAACTTTAGTTATTTATAAATTGCATTCCTAGTTTAAATTGTATATTTTCCTTTTCTAATTTTGGAATTTATTTTATTTTTTATTTTGAATTTTAATTAATCTCATACTATGTTATATATGAACTATTCTTTCAATATATCTGACTTTTTATTTTCAATTTCAGTTGTTTCAAAATTGTATTCTTACTTAAAATTTATATTTTATTTTTTAATTTCAGAATTTATTTTTTATTTATTTTTATTTTTAGTTACACGAAAGATACGTACGAACACACCACTATACACACCCTGCACGCATATACCGCGTAAGAGTACCCTTTAAATCTAAAGGAGGGAGCCCAGCCAAATCACAAAACTCACTAAATCATGTCTTTCTATATAAATATCTATTATGAGCACATTTACGGCATATGTGTAATATTGTGGACACCTATGGCTTGACTATTGTCATACCTCTAGTGTTTTTCTAATTCTTTTATGGATTAATATGACTTTTTCCTTTTAAAAAAATGTACTTTCATTTTCTACCATTGATGTATAAATAAAGAGACATATTTTTTATTTAATATATAGAGACATATTATTCAAGCTTTGCTTTCCACCTCATTTTGTTACCATATAATTTCCTCTAACGATACACATGCATGAAAAATTAGGAACACCAGATTATGTTCGTATTATAGAAAGGTAAATTTGATCAATTATGTACTTAAAAAAAACTATTCAGTAAAATTATGTTTTCTTAGTGAATGCCGCTTTTTTCCCTCGCTATGAAGGGCGAAGAGGTGTTGGCTGCCGGCTGTGTATGCATGTGCATGTTAAGGAGGATTAATTTTTATGTATTTTTGTTTATAATATATTATTAATTTATTGATTATCTTAGAGTCTAGCCATATAACATACGAATTTACATATATGACAGTAGAATTGTGTTCTATTTACAAATAGCATAAGAATTTTCCTAGTAACGTTTTCTATTCCGATTACGTACTTCATTTTTTCTGCTTACAACTCGAGCTACCGAATTGGGTGTTAGATCTGAATTTGGATTATAGTTTCCAAAACCTCTATATATATCTCAACCATATAATCTAGGCATATTACAATCTAACGGTCTAAATTTTTCTCTTTTTCTTCGATTAATGTAGGAATTTCTAGCCACCACAGCGAACGTGGTGCCTTCTTTCAAAGCTGTTTTAATAATATAATAGATTGAAACCTTAGGATTTTTTCCTATAAACGTCATTCATTTCATATTAATGAATCCTGCCAAATTTCTAAGCATTATAGTCTTACAACTTTATTCCATAGGATTTTTAGAATGAGGTAAGACCTCATGGAAAAATTCCAAAGGAATAGAGTATACTTTTCCTATTCCTTTTATTTAGAAATCCTATGAACCGAATAACCTTAACTTTTCTATTGCTATAATTTTAAATCCTATGAACTGAATAAGCCCTAAAGACAGTAGGTATATCGATAGTGTATGGTTTAATCGTCAGTATACACGGGGTACCTATAAGGCGTTCCAATACGCCAATTTTCTAGTAATGTTATAATACACACATCAATACTATTGTGGTGCTGATATCACCATTAACAAATTATGTATCTGCCTTAACTATGATCACGATGGTATATTCGTGCATCAAGAGTTCAAGCTTACAAGCCCGAACACATGCATGCTACCACTCACCATGCCATCCCTCTTCACCACTGAATTGACTGAGTGACTCTCATCAGCTATTCAGCTCAGATGCTCGCTGTGGAGAACAAGCTTCCCTTCTGCATCGAGCTACTCTGCTACAGAAAGTTGAGGCAGCTCAGCAGCTGCCAGCCACTTCTATTGCGGACCGTGATGCTCAGTGGTTCATGTTTGAAGCCGTAATCTTGGCCTGCCATGCTGGCCGTGACGCGTGCACAGCCCTTAATTTGCTCCCCCCTTTCATTCGTGGTCACAACTGAATCTCTGATATGAAGAAACTCTTGCCTGATGCACGGCTCCCCAGCTCAGCCTGTGACCTGTCCCAAAAAGCGTGGTAGCATTCATGGGCAAGGAGGTGGCACACAAACGGTTAATCGTAGCTTCTGGGAGTAATCGTGAAGAAACTTCCATGAACGGCACACGGCTATGATTCACGATGCCTCCTAGTCTTAGCTGTACGTAGTGTCTATGGAGAAACTGCATGTGTTGATTGGGTGCAGTGGTGTGTGAGGTTACATATAAGTCTTATACTCCCTCCATTTCAAAATGTTTGACACCGTTGACTTTTTAGTACGTATTTGACCATTCGTCTTATTTAAAAAATTTAAGTAATTATTTATTCTTTTCATATCATTTAATTCATTGTTAAATATATTTTCATGTACACATGTAGTTTTACATATTTCATAATTTTTTTTCATAAGATAAACGGTCAAACATGTGCCAAAAAGTCAACGGTGTCAAATATTTTGAAACGGAGGGAGTATATCCCTTGCTACCACTTCTTTTTTTCCCAAGTGTGATGTATGGACTGGAATTACTAAGACGATGTAGAACTTGCTATCAGCGACAAATCCTCTTCTAAGTCAGTCCACAAGAATGGCCGGGCCTTCTTTGGATTCTTGAATTATCCCAGCCTCCCACATTTACAAGGAATATATTGTGTACGAAAGCTTGACATGGTACAAATTAATGAGGCCCCTGAAGAATTTTTTTATTTGGTGTTCTCTGATGCTGATTTGTCCTAGTATTTGCACCAGAAGATACGTGATGATTCTGCAGTACGTGTCAGGTGCAATTGCAAGAAAAAAAAATTCATACTAACTAGCATGTAGAGTGGTGTGGCAGTGGCACATTAGAACTTATATACCCTCCTCAAGCTCGCAAGTCCCGATCAGGTTGTTCAGTTATAGTTCTCCCAAATCAACAGGCCCAGTCAGGGTTACAAGATATTCGATGGAACTTTTCATTAACCCCCAATTTGGCATTAGAAATGTACGAATTAAAATTCACAAGTCACATTAAAACCTGGTTATATTGCCGTTAGGAGGTATAACCGGTTTTGATAGTTGACGAGTGTAAAATATGCAGTTTCATAGTTAAGGAGTGTTTTGAGACAAACAACTGAGGAGTGTTCTGGATCATGAACACCTCGGTTCTAAATATAAACAGCAATTTTTCAGTCCTCTCACTGTATGAATTATGTGATGTCTTTGTTGATAACTTAACATCCTCTCCTTGATCTCCTCTACACAGGTCTGCTCTCCAAGAATCATTTGTTTTTTTATCTAGAGTAAAATACATGACTGATCCTTAAACTTAAGAGGGGATGTCACTTAGGTCCATAAACTAATTGAAAATTGCACATTCAGTTCCATTGTCTTGATCCAATGAACCTAGCCGGTCCAAACCTCATTTGGCCGAGGATGACCGCCGATATAGACAACACTTTTGCACTCAGCCCCTCCGCATCTCGGCGTGGTGGTAATTTTGCAATTAGTCCCTTGTTACTATAGTACCATCCTAAAATCAACAACATCATCACTTCTTTTAATGTACCTTCTCGGTGAGCTGTTGGAATGCATTGGGCATTTCTTGGAATACTTCTTTGGCTTTTGATTATTTTATGGTGGAAGCTAAGCACACATATCTTGATAGGTGTTTTATGGAAAAAATTTTGATTGGGGCTTGGAACATCTGGAAGCAAAGGAATGGTTACAACTTTGAGAGTATTCTTCCTACATTGGTTTCTCAGAGTTGGATACATTCCGTTAAGGGTGATCTTTTTTTTTTGTTTGGATTGAATGAGAGAGGTAAAGATGTAATCTTAAACTGGATTAGGTTGTTGTAATCTTTTATGTTTCTTTTTATTTTTTATCAATAAAGTTTTTTAACAGCGGAGACCTCCCCTGCTATGCTCCTTTCAAAAAAAATCCACAAAATCCCAAAACCCCATTGTCCCTCCCTATTCCACCCGATGGCTAGGGTTGCAATGGAGAGGTCAGCTGGAGATGGCAAGGAAGCGGTGGGAGACGGCATGGTAGAGGCGGGAGGGGTGAAGTGTGGATTCAACGCTTTGGACCATATATAGTGGCCTCTGGCAGCTCATTGTCGTCTTGTGGTCGTCGAAAGAGATTAGTACTACTATTGGTGAAGTTCCACTCATGCATGGAGAAGACCATCATGCTGCGCATAGCGCAGAAGATTGTTAATTGGGGCCCCATTTTCTACGATTGCCCTGACCACGAGGTATATAAGTTAAGCTAAATTTATTGGATTTGGTTTTGTGTGGTGATTTCAGTTGACCTGAGTTGTCAATGGTTGATATTTCTATAGAAAGATGGATCTGGCTGTGACTTTTGGTGTTGAGAGGAAGGCTAATCAAATATCTGAAGAGGAATGGCTTGATTGGTGAAGAAGATGTTCCGAAAGAGAACGATGCAGCAAGGTTGGAGCAAGCTGCATATCCAAAACGTGATGATGAACTGAAGAAGACATTAAAACTTGTAGCGTGCACTGGGGGAGAATTAGCAGTGACACTGAAAGGAATTCTATTAGTAGGTTGTTTAGGTGATGCTAGTTTAGTTTGTATTTTTGCAATCATTATGATGAAGTGATGTTCAAATTGAATGGAAATTTAATATTTTGCTGATTGAGTTCTGCACAGAATTAGTGGGAAGTGCTGCCAGATTGTATTTGCAAGATTGGAAATATTGGCGGGTTGTATGTTCGTAGAATGGAAAATGGGAAATTTTTAGTTTCGGCACAAGCATTTGTTGTAGAACCTCCATTTCCTGTAGAACTTGCACATCAACATATTCTATGTAGTTGTTATCCAGTAGCAATTATTACAGGCTAAACTTAATATGCAATTATACCACATTTTCACCCACTAGTAATTACTATTGTAGTTGTAGAGCATCTTAACTCATGCAACAATGCATGACACAACATTTAGAATATAATATTATGTAATTAATATTTATTTTATTATGACTTATTTACCATCAAATTTTTTTAAGCGTGACTTGAATTTTTTTTATATTTGCACAAAAATTTCGAATAAGATGAATGATGAAACGTTTCTCAGAAAGTCAACAACGTTATATATTAAAAACAGAGGTGATACATTGTTTTTCAGCATCACACCAGGGGCGGATCCAACGTGGGTGCAGGGGGACTCGAGTCCCCCATATACCCACAAAACCCAAGGATACCCCCCGGAGCACCCCCTTCAATTTTTTCATCATGAATAATAAAATAAAGGTCTTTAAATGGCTGGAGGTTGAAGAAACTGTGTAATTGAGCCCCCTAACTTTTTGTTCTTGGATCCGCCCCTAGTCACACCCGATCCATTTTCTTTGGCACGTCTTTCCATGAGTCAGTAGATTTGTGGCACACTTTCAACTAACCATCTCCAATCGCCTTTGTTGAAGTTAGAAAATCTACTGAATACCACAGCTCACCGGTGCTAACAAATCCGACAATCCCACTTTAACCCAAGCGTGGACTTGAATTGCGTTAGAGGCACTCATTTGAGAAGGACAACGGGAATTTTTATAACCAGTGTGTTCTACTATGTTCTCCGATGCCTGCTAATCCAACTTGCATAGAAATCCAATATTACAGCCTACACTGCTACCGCAGCTTACATGCAACAACCTTTCACTGAATTTGTTCCATACATTGAATTTCATTGTCACACCTGAACCTTTTTCTGTAGCAAGTCTTTCCATGAGTCTATTGATTTGTGGAACACTTTTAGCTAACTTTCCCCAATCACCTTAACGATGAAGTAAGCGCAACTGTGCTAACTAATCCAATGATCCCACATAAACACATGCCCGGACTTGAATTATAGATGAGGCTTGCTCTTTCTAGGAGGACAATAATGGGAACTTCTGTAAACACCGTGCTACTGTGTTCTCCGATGTCTCCTAGTCCAAGCATTTACAATACAATATATGTGATGGTTTGAGAAGTGAGGTAAAAGTGCAAAGTGATACTTCATACCCACTAGCCTGTCTTATTTCCATGGTTTACTGGTGTGGCGCATGTGCATGTATATCGCCTCTCCAAGGTTGGATAGCTAGCGTTATCCAGAAGAAGGCATGAGACATGAATGCTCCCCATTTGCAGTGTGAGTTCTAACTAAAATGTGATTTTATCTGGTTCATTCACAATGGATCACAATATTTTATACTGACGGTATGAGCACTAGGTCTTCTAAATCAAGAACATGCATGCCTGCTATAAACAAAAACTAAATAGTTATTTCTCTATTAAGCTTATCTCATTGTTCAAAATCAACTACATTAGGTTGTCAGGGAATGTAAAGATGCCTCAGGGGTACATTATGGGAGGATGAATGGAAATTTACTGAATTTAATTTGAAAATGATTTAACAAACCATTTTTGTAATAGAGGAAATCACCACAAATATGGTATTTTTCAATGGAAGTTCCTGATTTTAGTATACATCTCAGTAAAACTACACTCCCAGGTTTTATCAGAAAAAAAACCTTTCTATTATAGATTTTGAAAATAGATGTTGTCCATTTTTTGAACACCCGGAGGGTATTTCTTAAACATGGGATGCACATTAATTTATTGTAAAAAAATCCAAGAAGTTTCCACTGATAAATTCGTTCCAATATTCTTTATATTCGCAAAACAGTGGAATTTTTACAAAATTTTTCTTCACCGACATGTCTTTTCAAATCAATCTTTCAAATTTATTTAACTCATTCCTCTGTTCCCTCAAATAAGATAGAATCATTCAGTTTCAGTCATTGTCCATCATCAATCATCTGAAAAAGTGGAACATATCCGATACAAACAAGCTTCCCGTACATACTCCGTGCACACCAACAAGAAAATATCACAAAAAATTTACAAAAAATTGGACGTTTACTCGTAATAGTTTGCACATATCTGCAAAGTCTCATATTCAAATTCATTGCGTTTTAGCCGTAACAAAAAAGTGGAAAATCTGACAGTTTTAAGGGTAAAAATCTGTCAGAATTTTGTTGTTATGGCTAAAATATAATACACTTGAAGATAAGATTTCACATAATACTGTTAGAAATATGTGTACAATTTTTTCTAGAATTTTCTGTGACATTTGCTAGTTGGTGTGCACGGAGTGTGCACAGGAAACTTTTGTGGATAGGATGTTCCCATGAAAAAGAACTCTACATGTTGTAAGGGCTCTGCATAAAAAGGGTATTAGAAATCTTATCATTTGGTTGAGTGTCACAATATTGCAAGTGATGATTTGTTCGAACCATATATATATCACATTCTCTCTATTCTATCCTACATTATCACTTTATTTTATAATCTTTGGTGTCCATTTGAATGAGATGGAATGTGTAGTAATAATGCTGCCAAGATGATCGTTGTTTCTACTACTGTCGAGCATAAGACAGGGTGGATCAATTGACAAGACAACGGTGGAGTCGACCTCCTTACAGACTGCAACGAGCTCTCATCAACATGCCGTCATGAAGTGCCACACATGAAAGAACTACAAGTGCTTGTACAGTCCTTGAAAAGAAGACATCGCGAGAGGTTCCAAATTCGAAACAACAAATTTTAAACTACAAGTGATATGAAACCCCGTGTCCATTTCTCCATCGTGCAGTCACTGCGTGTCTGCTCACTGAAATTATCACTTCGTTATGCATCGCCCCAGCCGAGCAGATGGTCTTTACCAAGACTAGCCCCTGGCTTGAAGCAGTAGCAGCATGTATAAGTTCTGACGTGGGTCAGAAGAGGCCCTTCCTACATCTTGGGAATGGACCCAGAACAAGGTATAATGAGCAGTGCGTTCTTTTGTTCTCTGATGCCTCATAACCCTAGTGGTGTTGTTGGCGCTAGGAATTAGCTAGTGTGATGTGGTTGCCCCTATTGCAGATAACAAAAGGTACAAGATATGTCAAGCTTTCTTAAAGGTTGGCAGCTGGCCTTCTTTTGGATTTTGGATGCGAGTATGGCCGCATGAGTTACCTCTGCCTCGACCCATTTATAAGGAAATTACGTGTGGATGCACGTATGGCCACATGTGTTACCAGCCACATCAACATATTTTTATTTATTGTGTTGGTACAAGGATCTACTCCCTCCATCCTAAAAAACTAAACCTCCTAGAACAACGAATCTGGACAAAGGGTAGTCCAGATTCATAGTCCTAGGAGGGGTCATATCCCTACTAATTTGAGTTTTTTTAGGACGGAGGGAGTATGATTCATGACAAGCCCAATAGCAATTGCAGTCATACTAGTCGAGAACAAAGTAGATTTTAGTGTGTAAAGAACACTCGAGAGGAAAAGAAAGCACATGCATGTGGCACCCACATACATGCATATTTTTTTGTCAAACAAATTCTATAGTAAGGTTGAACCCGAAGTGTGCTAATTAATCTATACCTAATTAAAAAATACGTAAGGTTTCTGTAACTTTTTTCCATCCGTCATCGTCTCTCAGCAGACCCTCTTTTTCTCTCCTCCTGGGCCTCCATCACTCTCCCTCTTGGATCTTTTTCTGTTTTGCTCTACCTCCTGTACGATCTCTCTCTCTCTCTTGTACGATCTCTCTCTCTTGAATCTTTTTTCTTTTTTTATGAGTATTCTGTATTATTTTATGAGTCAAATCCACTGCATGCGTGCTCTGTGTGTCTCCAGCTACCGCCCGAGCCAAACATAGAGCCACCATCACATCGATCTACCACCCATGTGTTTCATCCTCCAATTGATACCAAATATATATCTATTCCCCGCTCCTTCCTAATCATCTCCCTCATGGTCTCCTCTTTCAATTCGGCATTTATTCGCTGTATTTGATCTTCATTTAATGATCACCAATGATGGCTAATCAGTGAGCTTCCTTGGGCTGTTTTTCTCGAGTTTTGCAGATTTGCGTAGATTATAGGGAAATGAGATCGAGTGGATCAAAAGTCCTCAATCAATATTTAGAGATCAAGAAAGATTCGGCCGGATTTAATAGGGAGGATCGACTCCGGCATGCATGGTACGGGCATGGGACTGTCGCTCGGAGGTTAAAGACGCTACTGAAGCGCATAGGTCTAACTTGGCAGTAAGAGGAGGCAGCCACAGTAGTGCTTGCTGGGCCTGCGGCTCTACGTATGTACGGTGATCCCAATATTTTAATTTTTTTCTCAGCTTCTCATAGCTGTTGTGGAAAAAACGTTATTATCTGTTGCAACGCACTTACGCACATGTATTTTTTCTATTATATATATAGTATCAGGCACATGGATATTTCTGAAATATATTGCTACAGAAGCATTAGTTAACTGCATCTCTAATTCTCTACCGAACCATCCATGATCCATCCAGATCAGGACAAATATCTACAAGCACAACACCAATCACTGATAGAGTGATAGGCGGTCCCTGCACTTGCTCACAAGAACTCTTCCTAAGGGTATATATATAATTCGAGCTTATAGAATCAGGCTTGACTTGGCAGTCGTCACCACAATTGCATCATTCGCATTCAACCGCTCGGTAGCACGAAGCCCGGGCAGCCGCCGACCTACTCGGAGGCGAATCTGTCTCACTGTGCATCTGCATTCTCGGATGCCTCCTGCTCCTAGTCCAACTGCTACTATG